CTGGACTCGAACTGCTGAAGCGTTGACCATTTCTGGCCAGCAACTTTCAGCGTCATTAAGCTGCTGCGCCACCGCGTCCCTTATATATATAATTAATATATATAATTAGATATAGTTCCTTATCTGGACATAATAACAAACTGCAGGAACAGGTAGTCCTCAACTTATGACCATTTGTTTAGCAACTGTTTAAAGTTATGGTGGCACTGAAAAAAGTGATTTATGATCAGTCCTCGCAAAAAATGTCATATGAATAGTCACGTGACGCCTCGCTTAAAGACCACACTGCTCAATGACATATTTTCCAGTCCCTATTGTGGTAATAAGTCAAGGACTACCTGTAGTTGAAAACAAAAGCAAACATTTCTAGTATCCCACTGTGGCTGCTGTAAAGTGCTCAGAATAAGTTTAGTGTTACATGGGCTCGTGGACATAGTTTACTTATTTAAAATAATTTTAAATTTATAATTAATTTATGTAGCAATCTGATTCCTGCAAATATTAATGCCTTTTATATATGCCTGGCAAATGATTCCTGAATATTTTTTCTTCTGACTGCCAGCAGAGTTATTAAGAAAGAAAAATGTGAAATGGTAGTTTATTTTTTAAGAGCTAGCAAATTTATTTATTTACATATTTAATTAAAAGACTTTATAGCCGCCCATCTTAGAACCAAAGTTCTGGGTGTGTCATATAAAACCAACATTATACAAAAAATAAAACCAAAAAAACAATAAAAACCGAAACAAATAAACCTGATGCCACAACTAAACTCCCTTGATGCAGCCTACAGCACTGTCTTCCAATTCCAACTTACCCTATTCCAGTGCTTGGGGAAGAGCCAAGATCTGCAATGAAAGCCCTGGTAGACATTTCTAGGAATCTAATTTGATAAGACATTTTTCTGTCTCTCCTGCTATATTTATCCTAATCATTGCACAATAAATTCATACAACAGTATTGTTTTCATATTTAATTAAGTAAAATGTACCTTTTGTCATGAATTCAGTGACAATGTAGATGGGCTCCTCAGATACTACAGCATAAAGTGGAACAAGTTTATCATGCCTTAATTTCTTCATGATCTGAGCTTCCTGTAAGAAAGCTTCTGGCATCATTGTACCAGGTTTTAGTGTTTTGATTGCAACTTTTGTAGTTCCATTCCATGTACCTATGGAATTAATGCATTATACTATCAGTTACAATACAAAGATTTTCAGTATAAAATAAATATTAGAGCAGGGTCAGATGCATGTAAAATAATACATTTTTAAACATGTTGAATAGAAGTCAAAAACTATTTTTCAGTGCCTTTAGTCTATGGAATGAGTCTGTGAAGTCCAGTACTGCCTATAGTGACTGACAGTGGTTCTCCAAGGTCTTAGGCAGATGTTTTCCATCTCAGCAACCTAATATCCCTTTTAAAATTGGACGTGGCAAGGTCTGGAAGTGACCTCTTATCCCCAGGGTACTTAGATTTAAAGATAGTGTTATGGTTCTCCTCCTTGTGATACTTACCCATCCATACTTCACCAAAGCACCCTTGGCCCAGCTTAACTTCTAACCGCAAAGATTCTCTAGGGATTTCCCAGGCGTCCTTTGCTAAACCCTGTGTCTGAGGTTTCACAGTTGGACACACAGTTGTTAATTTATGACACAGGCCATCAGCATGATCTAGCAATCAGAAAAAATATTTGTTATATAGTCATTTATTTTGAAGCATGCAGTTTTCAGAAATATATTCATCAGACTATAACTTACTTTTCGGATCAGCTGTAGAATTTAGAACCTACCTGTATAGTGTTTGACCAGCTTTTGTAAAGATTCAAATTGTGCTCTTGTTGTAATATAATATCCACCATTGTCAAGTTTTCTAATTTTATAGTGCTTCACATTATCACCTCTAATCTCATCCCAGTCACGTATAGAAAGGGAATAAGCACCTAGAAAAAATATATACTTTAATATTTGCTTCTGTAAACAGATTTATAAGCAAAGTAAGGGTTGTTTTTTGTCCTATTAAGTAATAAAATTAAAGACAGATACCTTTTGTGGTTTCACTTTCTCGGACTAAAAAAATACCACGCTGGTTCCCAGGATTTAAAAGTAATCTTTCTGCATCTTTCCTGCCCATTTTACCAAAATACCATCTAAAAAGTTCAAAGAGAAATATGTTCAAGAAAAGATCCAGTTGCAATATTTGATTAACATAGCAATACAAAGACAGGACTGCAGAGTATTCATTGTAACAGGGGCTTTCCATATAATTCCATTCTGTACTTTTAAAATGGATGAGAAATCAAAGGCTGTTTCTAAATGGGATATGATATAAGGATCACACAGATTCTTCTATAGGCCAAGATATAATTTAGTATTTAAAAAAAAAAACTTCTCATTCCTTCCATTCAAGAACCAGTGACAAACTGCTTTTAAATATGTGAAAAGTTTCAAAAGTAAATATTCCAGAATACTGGTGTTAACTTTTGAAGAAAAACGAATCAAGTCAGTTGGACTAAAGCAACTGCAGGTGAAACCAGAAAGGATTGTTTGACATTTTGTTGTTCCTGTATTCTTTCTGCTTTAAATGTGGTTTTGTTATTTTTTTTTAAATTAACCAACATGCTAAGCATTGTTTCAGAGGGAGGCACTATATCACATTTGACTGATAATAATGTCACATAAGCAAGCAACAAAGCTGCGTATTTGAACCTGTTTCTGAATTACAGAGAAGATATAAATCTATTTTGTTGTTTTGTGGAGCTGTAAACAAAGTTCAGATAGGCCTAGATATTAGTGATTTTCTCTTCTTCAGTAGAGAAAACAGAAGTGGAAGTCACAAAAGGAAAGAAGAGAGGAAAAAGAAGCTTATCCCTCCCCCATATTCTTTTGCTTCCTGTTATATTGGCAAATAATGCATTGGAGCTGAAGTTCTAAGGTATCATAGGTGATATCTGGTTTCCAAAGGCAACTCTAACCATTCCCTTGAGGACAATACTCCCACTTAGGCTTTCCTGCAAGGCAGGACAACAAAGAAGAAAGAAGCTCCCAAAGTTTATAAGCAATTCTGGGCCAGGGGAACTTCATCAATATGCTTAGAAATTCCATGTTTTTCTAAGCTCTGAAACTAGCCAGAAGATTTGAGGAAGCATATGGGCTTGTGGCAACATAAGGACTAACTGGTCAGTATGCTAAATCAATGTTCATAGATTATATTTACATCTTTGCAAAAACTGCATCAAGCTTTAGAGGTTGTTCATCAAGACTTTTAGCAACAAATACCATAGGATGAAATAAATACGTAGAGCATCTATGTAAAATGACTTAGTACTATGTCACAATCTGCCATAGTGATTCCATTCCATTCTATTCCATTCCATTCACAAGTTACTTTTTTGATCTGCAAACAGTATTTCAACACTATTCTAATGGAGGAGCAACCAACCATCTGAATCCATGACTGCACTATCCTTAATAACTAGGCCAGAAGCTATTGTTAAATATGAAAAGGCCACTAAACAATGCAAACGTTATAGATGATTCTTCTGTCAGGTTTTATTACAGCATTATATTATAGGTGTGTAGTAGTATGCTGCATTTAAGCATGTATATAAAATATACTTTCATTTAAGCTACTTTCACACACAGCCTTGTATGTTAGAATTTGTCTGAAGATTTAAAAAAAAAAAAACTGGTGGAAAGCACAAATGGAAAGCAATCCCTAGTCATTTTTGTGATTGACTCTACAGGACAAATAAGTTCAATACTTGAGCTGTTCCTTTTCCATAACTACATTATGATTTTCAGAGTTTTTGAAGACATTCTGAAGCATTGGCAAAGATGGACATAGTATTTTTAATCTACTTCCTCAGGTTTCATTCACCTAATAATAATAGTCACTCCATACATACAAAATCAACTAACTGACTGGAAGCAGCTCCCATTTCCAACGGTTCTAATGGCCCTAAGCAGCCGGAAACATATAAGTTTTCAAAATCTGCATTTTTGTTGCACAGCATGTGAGCTTTGGCACCACAACTATTCCCAGAGTTATGCTTTAAGATTTAAATGCGGTTGAAGAAGATCAGTTGTATCTACTGCAGGACTCTGAACACAGACCATACAGATTTGGAATGTTTTCAACAGAAAACTGTTCCTTCAGAATAGGCTGTAATGTACTAATAATGGTATCAGCATCAATTCATATAAACACATGTGAAATTGAACTATTTATTCTCAAAAATAATCTAAAATATTTTTTAAAAAGTCAGTCCTAAATTAATATTTTAAGAGATTAATTTTGTTTAATTCATGTAAGTACTCTACAGGTAGTCCTTGACTTATGACCACAATAGGGTCTGGAAAATTCATTGTTAAGTGGTACGTTCATTAAGCAAGGCATCACATGACTGCACCCAATTTTATGACTTTTTTGCAGTGGTTGTTAAGCAAATCACATGGTTGTTAAGTGAATCATACAGTTTCCCATCGATTTTGCTTGTTGGAAGCCGGCTGAGAAGGTCACAGATGGCGATCACATGACCCTGGGATGCTGCATCCATCGTAAATACATGCCAGTTGCCAAATGCCCAAAGTGGCACGTGACCACAGTTGTGAGGACTGGTCACAAGTCACTTTTTACAGGGCTTTGAACAGTCCCTAAACAAATGGTCATAAGTCGAGGACTACCTGTAATTGAGGCAATAAGTAATAATTCTTCTGAATAGACTTATTAGATTCTGTTGAATTCTACAGGAAAATTACAAGTAAAATGATTAAGGACATTATAAGGTCTTACTCTTCTGCCTGAATGGAATCTGCAGGAGCCACGTAATTGCTAGGAATGTAGCCACTTTTTCCTGTTGCAATAGATCTTGCTTCCCACCAGTCTCCTTCCCTGGGGTGGAGGGAGGACAGGGAAAAAAGTAATTACACTGAATATATATGAACAACAATACAATCATTTTCAATTATGAAATACTATGAACAAATACAGTACTGTGCAAAAGTTTTAGGCAGGTGTAAACAAATGCTGTAAAGTAAGAATGCTTTCAAAAATATATATTCTAATTGTTTATGCTTATCAATTTACAAAATGAAAAGTGAGCGAACAGAAGAAAAACCCAAATCAAATCAATATTCGGTGTGACCACCCTTTGTCTTCAAAACAGCATCAATTCTTTTAGGTATACTTGCACACAGTTTTTGAAGGAACTTGGTAGGTAGGTTGTTCCAAGCATCTTGGAAAACTAACCACAGATCTCCTATGGATGTAGGCTGCTTCAAATCCTTCTGTCTCTTCATGTAATCCCAGACAGACTTGATGATGTTGAGATCAGGACTCTGTGGGGGTCAAATCATCACTTCCAGGACTCCTTGTTCTTCTTGACACTGAAGATAGTTCTTAATAACATTGGCTGTATGTTTGGGGTCGTTGTCTGCTGCAGAATACATCTGGGGCCAATCACACGCCTCTCTGATGGTATGGCATGATGGATAAGTACTGCCTGTATTTCTCAGCATTGAGGACACCATTGATCCTGGACCAAATCTCCC